ACCCACCAGACAGGCGGGGACCGGGCGCGCCACATCGGAGCCCCGGTGAAGCGGGGAGGGCGACGTACGTGCTTTCCTAACGTTTCCAATTTGCTTTTTGTTTGTTTTTTTCAGATTCAAAAAGTATATTCCTCTGTCTTGGTAAAGTTTTACGTTTACCTAACGTGCTCTCATTACTTTCGTTTGTTCCAAGCAGGGGACAGGCCTGCCGAGAGCGCGGCGCTGCGCTGGCACGGCGTCCGTTCTCCTCCGAGTTCTGCCTAGACCGCCACCCCACACTGGTAATTTGTACGGAAAAAAAAAAAAAAACCTACCGAAATTCTTCTGACTTCAGCATTGTGAAAACCCTTTTTGAGATTATATGTATTAGTATTTGATAACTGATGTTAATTTGTGAGGGAATCGTCCGGGTAGCGTTTGATCTCGATGCCCCTTGGGTATTCCTGGGAGTTTATGTGTTAGATTTTAGAACAGCAATGAGAACATCCCATGTGCTTGCTGAATTAGCAAAAAATGTGTATATACTTTGCAGCCTATTTTAAAAGGTTATCATATTTGTGTTCATAGAAACAAGTTTTGCGTATTAACTGATGTTAATTTGTGAGGGAATCGTCCGGGTAGCGTTTGATCTCGATGCCCCCTGGGTATTCCTGGGCGTTTATGTGTTAGATTTTAGAACAGCAATGAGAACATCCCATGTGCTTGCTGAATTAGCAAAAAATGTGTATTTACTTTGCAGCCTATTTTAAAAGGTTATCATATTTGTGTTCATAGAAACAAGTTTTGCGTATTAAATTATGAGCTGAACAAGGCACAGACATAGCTTAATCATTTTGGAGAAGGGACATAAAGACTTCTACTTTTTTCTACACCTGCTATAATTTTCCATTATCAAATCTCTGGCTAAGAGCATTTTTTTATGTCATTATTATCTGTTTCCAATTTATTAATAATTTCCTAAGCTAGATCATACTCACTTTTCCTTTCAATGAGGCTATCTTCTCTTCTTATGAGAGTATATTTAATATGGATATACATTATGATATGGTACATTTGTTTATTGTGAGCTTCTTCTGGTGTACAGTCAAAAGGTAAGGAAGAGTAGTTTGCTTCTGATATTCTCAGTTGTATTTAAGGAGTAACATGATTTCCCAGGAGCATAAAAAATCCCTTTTGGATTTTATTACACAATAAAGGCCCCAATCCTGTTTTATGATTAACTACACGACTAAATTGACCTTATAATAACCTTTAAGGTCAGCTGAATTGTGAAACATTTCAGGGTTTGGGCTTCCTAATCTTGGCAGGTGACAGATGCATCCAAGGGAAGGGGAGATATTTGGAGTCATCTGGGATTGGGGCCTTGATCAGCAGATGTGGTGAAACATTGGAGAAATAAGGGAATGTTTGACATGTACCAGAGGTCTTCAAAAAGTTCACGGGAAGATTGTATCCTCTTTTAATTCTATTTTTCCACGAACTTGTTAAAGTACCCTCATATATGTTGAAATGGGTAAACTGAGGAGAGGTGAGGGGCTGATGTTTGGGAAGTTGGGTCAGTGCACTAGAGTTTACCATGTGGTAGGAGAAGCAGGGCATGGAGATTCATTGTGTGAACAGGATGAAAGGAGATGGGTTGTGGTGAGGAGAGGTCTCTGATTTATCTGACAAGAGGTAACATGGAGAAACATAACTGGCACTGGTATTTTCTGGGTGCACTTAGAGAAGTTCCAGGGAAGAAACTTGTCCTGCTGGTAAAGAGGAATAAACTCAAGAGTAAGAGCAAGTCCCTACTTGCCTGTGGTTGTGCTGTCAGGAACTCAGTTTCCCACCATCTCCACTGCCACCCCCCAGCCCCCAGCCCCATCCTCTCTTGTATCCAGAGAGAAGAAAGAGAAGACATGGGACTCCAGTCTTCTTCATCATTTCTAGATGCACCAGTGATGATTCCCCAAACCGTCACCTGGGAGTGACCTACCTCCCCAACACACATGCACAGGCACAGTGAACAAACAGAGGGGGCCTCTCTTCTCCCAGGGACAAAAGTAAGAAGGTTTGGCTATTGATGTTCGTAAGGAAGGTATTAATATCCTCATGTTGCAGATAACAAAATGAAAACCACAGGTGTTATGCCTTAACTAGATCTGGTGTTCAGAAGTACCATTTAATTCTTTCCCTGATGTTAAATCCTTGGATAACCTGGCTCATGTCATATGGAGGTTCTTGTATTCACAACCAAGGACACCACTCAAGAATTTCTCATTAAATTAGAAATTTAATGTCCTTGGTTGTGGATTCATCTCTTGTTGGAGTTTTCAGTGACTCTCATCAGATAAATCTAGCACTAAAAATACCTTGCACAGGGAAGAAGCTTATGGAAATTCAGGGATTGATCAGGAAATAATTTCTTTCCCAACATTAACACCAATTTGTTTATTCCCTCAATAAGGATATCCTTCAGAGAATATAAATGAAAGGGTTTTTGATTTGTTTTGTTTTGTTTTTTTCCCTCAAGCAGCTCATGGTCTCAGTGGCTGCAGTGGACTTAACCATGCGGTGAACACTGACTGTAGAGGTGGGTTGTGTTGGGTGAGGGGTGTGTTTCATAGGGTGAGTTCTATCATTTTGGTGTTTACCGAGGATGGAATGGTGGCTGAGTGGAAATGAGATGAGAGAGAAGAGAGGGTTGAAGCAGAGAGAGCAATGAAGATTTATTTCCACCAATTTAAAACTTTTAAAGTTTTATATGTTTGTACATTCTGAAACCTTAAAAAAAGATGAATAAAATCATTTTTACCACCCTGCCCTCAACAACCCAGTTCCCCTCTTTATAATTAACCTTTGTTAAAATTTGAAAACTGAATGCATGTTTCCTTAATATCAGATCTGCATTGAGAAGAGGATGGTAGGAAAAATATAATCTGGGGACTTGTGGGAATTTTGGAAGGACCAGAGAGACCAGATTCATTTAGAGGCTTCTATTACCTTTTAGCAGATTGGATGAAGTTACAAGACAGATAATGATAACTGATTGTTGGGTATCCCAGAGGAAATTGAAAGGGGTCAGGCTAGAACCATCTTCCTTCAGTCCTTTAGCAGTCTCTTAGGACTCTGTCTTGTGTTTCTGGACTGTAGATCTTACGCCTTATAATGAGCACCTGAGTTGTGCAGAGATGAGAACGGTCATGCCTGCCGACCCCAAGGTCTATATGAAGTCAGATTAATCCTGCAGGATTCAGGGTATTGCTTCAAGGTTTTCTGTCTTTTTTAATATTAATAGATCTTTCACTTGTATTTACTGAATATTTGCCATATAGGAAGTAATTTACATGTCACCTAATTGGAACTCTCAACACTCCTTAATAACCATTAAGCCATTTCATAAATGAGGAAGTTGAGGTTTATGGGGACTAATCTACCTATAGTCATAGTTAAATATTGACAGTTCAGGGATATTATTTGCCTTGTGACATAAATATAGATGTACTTGAAATTGGCAGGGAGATCAGTTTTGTTATGTGTTCTCGAGTTAAAAATAATAGCCAGTCTGTAAGTAAGAATTATGACTTTATGTGGACATTTCCAGGTTATTTTACCCAATACCTTATGTGATATTCCTTTTTAGTGGAGTTATTATGTGTTCAGAATGTCTTTGTATCTCTGAGTATGTGTAAATGGCACATGCCAGGTCAGCACAGAGAAACATTAGACTGGAACTCCAAATAGGCTTTAAGCTTTCTGTATATGCACTCCGCCTTCCCCAGCACTGAATCACGATGTCCATTGTGTTTTAGGAATCAGTGAGCTGGAGGACATAGCTTTGAACTTCACCCAGGAAGAATGGACCCTGCTGAACACATCCCAGAGACAGCTGTACAAAGATGTGATGCTGGGGAACATTAGACATCTGGTCTCTCAGTGAGTCTTCAACATTGACTAATTTATTCAACCAGTATCTAGAACCTCTGTCAGCCCTCATTGATATTCTGTTACAGCACTTGTAGCTACCTGAAGGTGTAATTTCTAACTTATCTCCCCAACTATGATATAGCCTTTCTGATCACAATTTCATGTATTTCTTGTAGTGAATCTCCAAGACCTAGAACAGTGGTGGGAAATCAATAATTTTTGGATTTACTAATGGATTAAGTATTTACTAAGTAACTATACTACTCTAAGCATTAAGCTGTGGTTCGACACCACAGTAGTAGAAATAACAGGCATCCTTTTTTCCACAAAGAACTTAGATTGTGCTGATGGAGCTAACATTTATTGGATTATTTTTGAAAATAACATTCAACCCACCGTGGAATCATTTAATTCCTCCCTTTTGAAAACACTGAGAATTCACACTTTCTTTGAGCTTAGTGTTGTGTATCAGCATTAAGAGATTCAGTCATGGCTCAGAATCAGGGTGATTTAGCTCCTTCTCTGTTTTCAGTGTTCAAAGTGCTGCTCCCTGAGCTGAGCTTCAGTGCTCACAGTGTTCTTCCTTAGTGTCCTGTCCTGGACTTGAAGGTCATGAACTGTTCTCAACACAGATTTTTAAATCCATGTACCGTTTCCCTATATCTAGGGTATGAGCTCTTCAAATCATATGTGATTTCCCCTTTGGATCAAAGAGAATAATAGTTATGGAGGGAAGAGGATTCCCCTGAGGCCTGAATCCAGGTGAGCTCCAGGCACATGGGCTCCATATGCAGGGGAGCTGGCCAGTGAGGGAACAGGACCTTGGTAATGTGAACTGCACATTTCCTTGAGTGAATGATAGTTGCAGAAAAGTATGACAGGCTATTGAGACAAAATTCCTCAGATAGTGTCATCATTTGTCACACTTAGTTTCTCTTCATATATGTTCACGTCCTCATTGGAGTTAAAGTTTCACATTGTGGTCTTTTTCCTGATCCCTTCCTTTTGATTTCACCTTTCATAACCTTCCTCAAGTCCCATCTTCATTTTATTTTTCTCTTACTTCAATCCTGAAAATTCTTTCCAATTTTAGATTTCATAAAGCATGTTTTTACTCACTCGCGTATTCCTCCTTTTCACATTCCCTATGTAAGCATCAGTATTTGAAAGATATTCACATGGGCCTTGTGACTTTTCAACATGTTTGATCCCCTAATGCCACTCTAGCAACTTATTCTTTTTCAGTTATTTTAGGCAGATAAGATACCCTTAAAAACCAAAAAATGATATCCATACAAGGACCCATCTAATTGCATGTCAATGGTAAGTTTCAGGGGAATTGACCCTGGTTTTCTATATTAAAGACCTGGAAGTAGGATGAACTAAGAATATAGTGCAATGCAATCACACGACTTAATTAGAGTTGAGAGTAGGTGCTGTCCCAGCAGAAAGTTTTGAATAATTTGAATTTAGGGAATAAATAACCTGAGCTCAAAACTATAACCTGAGTTCTTATAAAAGGACAATTGCATAAACATGGTTTATATAGCTAGTCTTTGAAACAGTGAAGTCTACGAAATAAATCAGATAGCTGTACAGTTGAGATGCTACAAAGAGGAAATTCTCTGTGCATGCAGGAGAGTAACTCACCATATGTATGTAAATAATATGAAGAGGATTTTAACTGGAGACTCTCCCTAAATAATCAGTCCAGAATTCATATATAGAGAAGATAGAGAAGGGAATGAATGAATGTACGTGGGCAATCCTTTAACAACCTCTCATCTCCTTCCCAACAGCAGATATCTCACTCTGGAGAGGACCCCTTTGAACTTATTGAGTATGGTGAAGTTTTCATTTTACCCTCCCTCCCCCTACCCTAGTCTGGGGTCCAACTAATTCCTGAATCTTTGCCACTAAATGATCATCCAGCCTGGAATAGCCCAGAGTGGGGACCTTATTAACCCCCAAGGTAAAGCAGTACAGTTTTAGATAGTTCAGGATAATAATGATAGTGATGATGGACACCAGTTCCCTTCAAAGTGTTTTTCATCCAAGATCTCATCAGATTTTCACAGCAGCCTCATGAACAGGAGGGAGAAGGGGAGTGTAGCTAGGCGAGAACCTACCAGTCTTCTAGTTAAGCTTTATTTAATCATTAGGAATCGTAGGCCCATATAGGGTAATCTCAAGGTTACGGACCCTCCCACCTCATCCCAACCGTACCCTACCCCTACCTCCACCCCATCCCCACCTGTACCCCATCCTCACCCCTACCCCCACCACCACCCAATATCTGTGTAGTTGTATTTAACTATTAGCACGATCCAGAACACCTGGATGGTGCTATTTTCTATGAACACAGCAAAAATATTCTCATTCATATAATCTGCTAAGGCTGTGCCTGCAAACTTGTTTTCAACACTATCTGCCTATAATACAGTTTAGGGTATTTTCTGTTTCTGGCTGTGTATGATTTAAACACACATACACACAGTCAAACTTCTCTTGTACCAAAAATTCACAATTCATAAGCAATTCTATAAAATGCTGCAGAAACTCAAAGGAATAAGTTGTAATTGAAAAAAAAAATCTTAATACATTATTTTCTGTTTTAATTAATTTGCTGACAGAGTGTGGTACTCATTTTTATTATCAAAAGATCTTAAAATGTACACATGTATGAAATGATTTTCCCCTGAGATAAGTTAACAAATGGTGTGCCATTATATGAAATAGTTTCTATTACAAATAAGGAAAAGCACTTTCAGCAAAATTAACATTAAGTCCTTAGGGAACACTGCATTGCCTGACCATATCGATAACTTGGGCACAGAATCTTCAGTGAACGTGGATATTTCTAAGCATTGAACACCTGTGCCCCCAGAGAAGTGGGCCATTTGGATCTGTTGGGAAATCCCATAGCATAACTAATGTGGAGACTGGAGAACCAAAAACTTAAGACATTCTTAGACAGTGGACCTCCACAGTCAAGTACAACACGTAATGTAACATCTGCTATTGGAAAAATTGAGACAGGAGCAAGTCCTTACACAGGAAGCTCCCACCCTTTGTCCAGATGTGTGAGTGGGTAGGTAACCTGTAATTTATGTGAATATATATATATAGTTAAAAAATTTATGGGGAATGACACTTACCTGAATTGCTTATTCACCCATTTTGCCCATTTTCCTGTTGGCGTTGGTATTCTTATTTCTTGTTAGAGTTCTTTGTATATTGAAAATATTAACACTTTAATATATGATGAAATTTTTTTCACGTTATAGGTAAGCTTAACTGTGCTCTTATGACATTCAAATAATTTTACGATATATATGTATACACGCACACACACACATGTGTGTATATATACAAGGTGTCTTCAAAAAGTTCATGGGAAGATTTGTATTATCTTTTCATTCCACTCTTCCACAAACCTTTTGAAGTACCCTCATGTGTGTGTGTGTGTGTGTGGTAAGTGTTGCCAAACATATTTTAGTTTTCCTGAAAATTCTGCATTCTTTTATTTCTACTGATGTAACTTTTAATTGCATGTAAGTCTGTGCATGTAAAACATGCTTTCTGTTGGGTCTGCTGTGCTAACCTCTGTACATTCTGGCCCTTCTTTCTTCAGAGATGCTGCCAGCATTGTGGGTGTTGTTTTTCTGCTGTCAGCTGCCTTCACCACAGCAGCTCTAGCCACAGGCATCCAGGGGTGTCCTTCAGTGTGGCAGATGGAAGAGGTTCAGGTGGGGATATTTTTGCAGGGAATACTCGTTTGCAAAGACAAGTAACTTGAATACGTAGAAGAGGAAAAAATGAAATTTTAACATTCTGTTATTCCTAGAAAGATAAAATATTTCTCCTGTGAGTTGGAAATCTTGATTCCTCCTAATTCTTCATAGCATAGTTCTCAAACTTTGCGCACTTAATCTTTGTGTGTCTGTGGCATAAATTAAGGGCGAAGCCAACTCCAGTCTACCCGTGTAAAAGAAGTGTGTAAGTCAGAGATCTAGCAGTCAGGTCCTGCCTTTTTTCCTCCTGTCAAAATTAGCTTGAACTGCCTATTTGGACGTTACAGGCATGGGCCATCCCAATCCACAAAAGGGTTAGGAGAAAAAATGATTATGCATGGCTAAGAGAGAACTAGCTAATAGAAAGCAAGGCCTGGAATTTCCTTCATCAGAATTATCTGAATCAGGTCAGAGTGAGGCTGGAGAAATGTGACACTGAAAAGAGGAACCCCAAGTCCTCTCCACCCAAAGGTCACATGACCCTCCATGCACTACAGTGTTGTGGGTGACCATGCTGATGGAGAAGACGACAGGCGTTACCTTCCAGAAGCTAAGGAACGGAAAAGGAATAGTGAGCAGGAGAAAGAACACGGCAACTCTGGCCTAGGTGAGATTTAGGGTTTCCTCTCTGGAGCCTCTGAGTAGATATTTGGTCATGTTCCCTCCTTCCTGCCAGAAAAGAGCTCTGCCTCAGTGACCTCCTTTCTCCCTCCCTACTGTGGCACTTCCACAATGGCTCTTCCCTCCAGTTCTGGGACCTCCACTTCCTCTGAGCCCTTTTACTTTCATCTTACTCATCCTGCTCTGTTCCCCTCAGTTCACATCCCCTCCCCTCCTCTCTCCTCGCATAGCTGACTGCTGATTCCCCCTGTTCTCACTTCATTTCCCTTTCCCCTCCCTTCCACTCCTCTCAAATCCCCTCCCTTTCTCACTCCTCAGTTCACTCCTGTCCATTATTTTCATTTCCCCTCCACAAGGTTCTGCTTTCTTTTGGACTCAGTTTACATCTTGGCCCTTTCCCCTGTCACCTTCCCTTCCCTATCCTGAGATGGCCATTCCTTCAAGACACCCCTTCACCTCCAGTCCCTGCCCTCACTTCACCATTCTCCCCTCTGTTCACTTCTCCTTCCTCCTGCTCTCCCTGCTCTCCATTTGGTTTTCCTTTCTAGTCTGACTCCTCCGATTATTTTCTTCTCCTCTCCTCAGGTCATTTTTCTCCTCAGTTCCCTTCCCTCCTCTCCTCTCCCCTTGTTTCTTACCTCCCTGCCCCCCACTGCTCCCCCGGCTCAAGTAGCCTCAGTTCTACCTCCTCTTTCCCTGTCCTTGCTTTGCAGTTACTGCCCACCCTGTCCACAGCTCACTGCTTCCCTCTGGACCTGCCCCCCCTCCATGTCTCTCTCCCCACTGGTCCCTTGCTCCCTGTCCTACGCTGCACCAGCCCTGTCATTGCAGCTCTCCCCGGACTCTGTACCCCTGGTGCGTGGGCAGATGTTCTCCCCATTCTCTGAGTCTCTCCTTCCACTCAGCTCATTTATTCTATCTCTCACCAGCACCAGCTGGCCCCACATGTGCCCCAGGGATGACACTACAAGGACTTGCAGTCCCACTTTCCAGGGGACAGGGAGATATTTTGGGCATCCAGGAGCAGCTGTGAGCTTGTGTGTATTTTGGGAAACCCTCTGTCATCTTCTTCAGTAAACCAAACAACCTTTGTGGCTAGAGAAATTTTCTTCAGTGTTTTATAACAACAACAATGATAATGGTAATAACCACAATAAAGATGATTAACAACAGTACTAACTATGATGATACTCGTGTTGATGATGATGAAAATACAATACATGTAAACCTAAGGAGATGGGATAATAGAGTACACACCTCCATGAGTAGCCAAGTGCCCTTCCTTGGACTCATGGTGTAGTTTGGAGTCAGAGTCCTGGCAATGTTCCAGGAAGTGGAAGGACAAGCAGCAAAGGGAAAGAAAACCACAGGAAGATGATCATGGAAGAAAGCAGGGACTCCTGGGAGGATACTGGGTGAGGTCTCTGGGGGAATAGAGAGGAATCCAGGTCCAGAGCTGCCTGCTGCCACACACCAGCCCTCTTCCCTGAGCTATGACATCTGGCTGGAGGGGAGGGTCTCCCTAGAAGAAAGAAAGGACTCAGAATCCATTACCTCAACCCTTCCCACCCCCAGCTGAATATGAAGGTCATAGGCCTCTCAGCCCTAACCTAGTTGCTGCCTTTCTGCCATCTCCCATCATCAGCCGTCCTAACATCTGGACTTCTGGGTTTGTGCTTCTTGGACCAGGGCTGTGAGCAGACACAGGGCTGGTCCCTGGACAGCTTCCTTAGTGTAGTGCTCCAGGGCCAGTAGGGGTGATATGTCCCAACATGAGCTGGTCCTTGTCTCCTGGGAGTTGTTAAGAAATACATAGGTGGGGCAGGGATGTGTTCTGTGGACCCTGAAGGACAACGGGAGTAGTTCCCAGGACTCCAAGGGGACTTGGAAGGACATGTGCTGTTTCTTGAAGGCCAAGGACACCTGTCCCAGGCCTTTCAGTCAGGTATTAGAGATTGTTGCCCCAGGTGACTGAGCATATTTTCCAGAAGCTGAAACAAGTCAAGATTCACTCCCAAACCTCCCCTCCTGAAACAGATTGGTCCTAGCATCTGGAGGGGCTCTTGGAAAATTTCTGGGCACTAATGGGTGGAAAGGGCACCAGAGGTACTACAGGAGTCTGGGAGCAGCTTGCATTTGTATGTATTTTGAGAAACCCTGTTATCCTCTTGCATATTCAGACACCCTTCATGAATAGTGAAACTTTATTCAATGTTTTACAACAATGATAAATAATAATAGTGGTATCAATAAGATTATTGGCAGTTTTCTTAGCAGAAAATTTGGAGGCCAAAATGCATGAGAATATATTTAAAGATCAAAAGAAAAAAACTATCAACTGAGAATTCTATATCCAGCAAAATTATCCCTAAGGAATGAGAGAGACATTAAGACATTCCCAAGCAAAAGCTGAAGGAGTTCATTACCCCTAGACCTTCCCTACAAGAAATGCTAAAGGAGTCCTTTAGGTTGAAATGAAAGCACGCTAGACAGAAACATGAATCCATGTAGATATAAAGATCTCCAGTAAAGGTAAGTATGTGGGCAAATATAAAAAACAGTATTACTGTAATTTTGTTTTGTAACTCCACTTTATTTTCTCTAGGGTTTAAAAGAAAAATGCATAAAAGTAATTATAAATCTATGTTAATGGTTATGCAATATAGAATGATATAATTTGACATAAATAACAAAGTGAAGGGTATGAAGCTATAAAGGAGAGTTTTGTATGTAATGAGAGTTAAATTGGCACAATTTAAAATAGATTGTTATAATTTTAGGATGCTGTATGTAATTCTCATGGTAACCACAAAGAAAATGTCTAGAGAATGTACACAAAAGGAAGTGAGAAAGGAATCAAAATGTGCACTACAGGGCTGGCCCGGTGGCGCACTGCTACAGTGCGCCGCTTGGGAGTGCGGCGGCGCTCCCGCCGAGGGTTCGGATCCCACATACAGACCGGTTCCCACTCACTGGCTGAGCGAGGTGTGGGCGCAGCACCAAGGGTTGCGATCCCGGTGCCAGTCCCGGTCCGGTCCGGGTGCGACACTGAGGGTTGCGATCCGTTGCCGGACACGAAAAAAGGTGATCCCGGTGCCAGTCCCGGTCCGGTCCGGGCGCGACACTGAGGGTTGCGATCCGTTGCCGGACACGAAAAAAGACAAAAAGGAAAAAAAAATGTGCACTACAAAAAAATCAACTAAACACAAAAGAAGGGAGTAAGGGAGGAGATGCAGGACAAAAAAGGTTTAAGACATACTGAAATAACAAATGGCAAAAGTAAGTCCTTCCTTATCAGTAATTACTTTAAATGTAAATGCATTAAACTCTCTAATTGAAAGGCATAGATTGACAGGATAGATTTCAGAAGTGATCCAACTATATGCTATAGAAATAACAAATGGCAAAAGTAAGTCCTTCCTTATCAGTAATTACTTTAAATGTAAATGCATTAAATTCTCTAATTGAAAGGCATAGATTGACAGGATAGATTTCAGAAGTGATCCAACTATATGCTANTCTCTAATTGAAAGGCATAGATTGACAGGATAGATTTCAGAAGTGATCCAACTATATGCTATCTATAAGAGACTCACTTTAGATGTAAGGACACACATAGGTTGAAAGTGATAGGAAGGAAAAAGATATTCCATGCAAATGGTAATTTTTCAAAAGAGAGCTGGGTTGTTGGCTATATTAACGTCAGACAAGAAAAACTTTAAGACAAGAACTGTTACAAAAGACAAAGGACATTATATATTGGTAAAAGGGTCAGTTCACCAAGAAGATATAATAATTATAAACATGTATGTACCAGACAACAGCTCTCCAAAAGACATGAAGCAAACATTGACAGAATTGAGGGAGAAAATAGATAGCTTTACAATGAAGTGGGAGCCCTCATACACCACTTTTATTTTTATT